AATCACAGAGTCTACATCTTCATAAAGATTGAAGTTGTGCAGGAACAAAAAACAAATATTAAGCAAAGGAAGCTAGTCAGTAGACAGAGGGGAATGGGGTTGATATATGTAAAAAGGAAAGACACCATGACAGAGAGAAAGAGAGAAGATTGGGTGGCTGGGCTATAGAACTGAGTGATGATGGTTCCTTTGAGGTCTTATTAAGCTTTCCTGCATTCTATGCCAGTATGTTCTCTCAATAAACTCCTTTTTCTGGCATAATCTGGACAGAGTAGGGTGACTAACCATCCCAGTTTGCATGTGACCATCTTGGCTTTATTAGGAAACCTCTCCCTCCCCAGCAAACTGGGACAGTTGGTCACTGTTAAGAGTCTCTACCTCTTGCAGCTGAAAGAACTGTGACTAGAGTAAATCCCACTTAGAGAAGAAAGATAAGAACCAACAAATACATTGATAAAAGTTGAAATTGCTAAGATGAGCTTCAGTAATTACCTAACTACAACATTGTGAGTTGAAGGAATCATAGAGAATTACTTATAAGAAACACATGTGTTAGATAACATTTTGAGTTCACCTAATTTTGCATTATATCTTTTCCTAACACAGAAATGAGACCCAGAAGAGTTGACTGCTTAACCCATAGCAAAGCTATACTAGAAACCAGGTCTTACAAAACTGAATTCTCTGACATTTTACTACTTCATGCTGCTTTTAATGCTTGCTGTTGCTACTTTTCAGAAATTTTATTTTTTTTTAAGATTTATTTATTTATTTGAAAGAGAGGGGGAAAAGGGTGGAGAGGAAGAGAGGGAGAGAGAGAGAGTATTCGTGAGCAGGCAGAGGGACAGAGGGAGAGGGAGAGAAATCTTCAAGCAGACTCCACGCTGAATGAGAAGCCTGACACGGGGCTTGATCCCAGGACCCTGAGGTAATGACCTGAGCCAAAATCAAAAGTCAGACACTCAACTGACAGCCACCCAGGCACCCCTACTTTTCAGACATTTTTAAAAAATTTTGTGTAATTTATAAGTTTCATAAAGAAAATTAAATAAATCAATTGGTACTCTAGTATTTTTACACTCTATTTTCATTTTATGGAATATATTATTTATATAGTTTATAAATCTTGAAGTATGTTAGCTGTGCTTTATTATACATTATATACTGTATTACACACTGTATGTGTGTGTGCTTTAAGTCAGTGACTCTCACACTTTAATTTGCATATGAATCATTTTACCTGGAATCTTAATAAGATACAGGTGTTGATTCAGTAGGTCTGGAGTGAGGCCTGAGATTCTGCATTTCTAACCATTTCCCAGGGGATGCCAATGCTGTGAGGCTTTATGTGAGTTCAAACCTGGCTTCCTCAATTATTTTCAACTGCAACAAGTTTAATCTCCACATCTGAGCTTCCCCCAGATTAGAAGAGTGGAGAAACAAGGACAACCAAATTGGGTTGGGATATGGAGCAAGTCAATAGGAAGCAGACTGAGCAAGCAAGTCAGTGGTCCAGTTGCATAAAAGTCAGGTATAAACCAAAGGTTCTAGGACCCCATAGTTCAGGACAGTCCAAAGTCTAGATATCCAGAGGTGTGGAGCATATCTTGGCAGCAGGGCAGTTACCAGAAAGGTACTAGCTACACAAAGTTTTGATCAAACTGCTGTGAGCCAGTGACACTAGGGAAGGATTTGGGGATGAGATGATGAGTAATGGAATTGGTCCTCAAGGAACTCACAGTCTAGAGGGGCACATTTGAGAAGCAGGTGACTAACATGACTGTATAGAAAGAAAAAGTATAAAGGGTCATTAATTTAGACAGTTAGTACATGATGCAGGTAAGGTCCAAGTAGGCAGATTGAGTCAGAGTCCCTGAGGGACAGTAATATAAGAGCTGAGATGTAGGCACAGAGCATTCATATGCCCAGAGTGTGTGGGTGAGACTTGATATACAAGGAATTGCACGTAAGGTATGGGAATTTCATACCATGGCCAGTGAGGCAATATCTTATGAGGCCAGGGGTCCTTGATTAGGGCAGAGATATGATCAGAGAAAGGGCTGGCTGGACCCCAAGTCCAGCCAAATCAGTGTGCCTGATGGGGAGAAGCCCGGTACCAAGCACTGACCAAACACCAGAGCAGTTGACATAGAGTAAGAGAAACTATTAATGTAGGAAAGCAGCTTAAGTGAGAAAAGAGCAGACCTAAAGCAAACAGCTAAAAGTAAATCTCCTTGTCTCTTTATTCCTCTCACAACCTACCCTCCAGACCACAACACACTTTCTAGATTATAACCAAAAGCAACATATATATCTTGGTTTCCCTGAGGAGACATTCTATAACTGGGCAGATATGGCATTAAATATGTACTATCTGTGCATCAAGACACTCACAGCTGTATGTGACTTATCCTTCAAGGCAGTAAGAAATGTACAGCATAAAGCTGCATTATTTAATAATATTGTATATTTGGGTGGTACTTTTAAGGTTTTCAAGTACTTTCACAAATATTGTCTCATTTAATCTTCATAGCAACACCCCAAAAATCACATCCAAGTCACGAATAAGAAAGCTAAACTGTAGAGAGATTAATTAATTTGTCAAAGACCAATCAGCTTCTAAGTTGCTGCACTAGAGTCTCTGACTTCAGATCATTGCTCCTTTTAATTTGCTAAAATGTAAAATATTTTGTTCAATTTCAGGTTTCTTTGCACAGAAGTTCTGGTATCTAAATCCGCAAGTGGGTCGGGCAGTCCATCATAGTTTGTAGCTAAAATGTGTGAACATTAGAATAGATGATAAGGAAAACCAAAGCAGATATAAGAGGAAAACAAGTGGTTTAGAATGAGCATGGTCAACATTACCACCCCAGATATCTTTGGGTATTAGAAAATAAAGAATCAAAACATAAGTCTCAGGCAATCAAAAGCAAAGCTAACTAATTTACAGTGGAATGAATAAAGCCTAGGATATGAGTGTCAAAAAATGTAGCACATAACTTGTTCCAGAAGCAAGGAAAAAAATCATTTCAAGGGGGCTGGAGAAATGAGAATAGAAGCTCAGCTGAAGTTTAAAGGGACTGGTGACTGAAGAAAGCAGGCAGTAACTATTTTAACTGTGGTCAACAGGAGCGCATGATTCACTGCGAGAGGCCATTTGTCTCTTCAGGGCCAGGACTGAAGAACAGAGACACACCTTGTGTGGGATTGGCAGGGCGTATACCTCTCAGGTAGAGATGCGGCTGTTAATCTAGAATGAGGCCCAATAGAAAGTGTTCATTGACTAGGGGCTTGGGGCCTTGGGTTTATAACTGATTCCAGTTATGAAGGATCTATGAAAGGGGGGAAGTTCTTGCTTCTGAATGCTGATGTCAAAGTTAGAACAAAATTGACCAGAGGCAACTGAAGATTTTTTTCTCCCATAGGGAAAGAATAGGGTCCAAAAGGCAGGCTAGAACTCATGTAAAGTCCACATGAACAACCTTTAAATTGAGTAGTGGGGGCAGAAATGGAAGTCTGATGTAGCTTTGATTATAGTTAACCATAATCTTATTGATGTGACTTGTAGGATGGCCGTGAATGTACTAACCTTAGAGAGGAAGACCCCAAGGTTGAATCGGGTTTGTGCCTGTCTTTGGCCACCTTCAGTATGGAAGTAGCTACTTCAGGCTGATCTCAAGACAGTTGAAGACATTCAAACTATGACTCCACTGGGGCTGAACCATAGCAACATTTATCATAGGAAGAACTCTACCCCACTGGTGGAGGAGAGACAGAAGTTAAAAGTGAACTAAAGAACCAGACAGCATGGAAAGGAACTTGGCAAAATTTGGTAATAGTCTTGATTTTTAATATGCATACTAGATATCTTAGCAAATGGAATTAGTTAACCACCAAGAGATATTTCTTTGCAAATTTATACACTAGAGAAAAACAGAAGACATAGATCAGAGATAATAAATTTGCCATATATGCTGAAGATAGGGAGCTGACATATTCTTATGGCCTAAAGTGAATTTAAAAAAATCAGAAAATGCTTTTTCATGTAAAAATATAAGATTCTGGTTTCTCTAAAAAAGATTAGTTAGGGCATTGCCATATGGCTACAACAGGCTGGACTAAGTAGAACTCTTTTGTCAGGACTCACCATGGAACTCTCTGTCTAGCCCTGTCTGGACCCTGTAGAAATTTCAGTTTGTTCCGTGCCCTCTGCAGTTTGACAGCTGTTTATAACCAAGTAGGCTTGTTCTAGACTAGAATGAGAAAAATGAAAACAGTGATCTAAACTGGGAAGGCAAACTGTTTCATTTCATGTACCCACTCAACACATATTAATTAAACAACCAGGATAGCCACCAGCTATTCTGCTAAGTCCTAAGGAGACAGACCTGAATAAGTTACAGTCGTTGCTCTCATGGGGTTTACAATCCAAAGGGAAAGACAGATATTGTGTAAATAATGATAAGTGTGTATGATATGATATGATGTGTAGTAGTATGCTGGAGAAATGCTGAATGTTTGGGACTCTGAATCTGCTGACTCAACCTGATGGGACATCATGGAATGTTCCTGAATAAATGTAAGCTGAGTCTCTAGGTCTCCCCAGGATTGCCTAGGGTCGGCCCTGGGACATGACTTAGGGCTTATGGTTGATCACAGATGGTTTCTAAAATGGTTCATGCTACCGAGTTGCTGTATACAAGGAAAAATGTGCTGAAGAAGTAGAACAACTAATTCTCTTTCAGAGATTTGGTGTTTTGGTCCTACTGCAATAATGCTGCAAACAACTTACCATCTTTACACCCAAGGACGACGACTCTGTTGGGCAAAGCATAGTGGTTATAAAATTAATATCTTTCTGTTAAAAAGTATAAATTGAAAAAGATTCTAATGGCTAACACAGTTATCTAACAAGTTAGAAAAAGACAAAGAAGAATTTTATTTTTTCTGTTGGAATGACAAAAATGCATGGGTATTGATTGAAACCAAATCTTGGAAAGAAAGGCAGTCTGGAAAAGGAAAGGCAATGTTATTTGATCTTTATTACCTCCATCAAAGGCTTCTGTAATTCACAGTTTGACAGCATTTTGTGAGTAGCACTGACCATTTCACAAAGCTGTAATTTACCTTAAGAAGAAAACAACAATTAACAAGGTGCATCATAAAAAGATAACTGTGAACTGAAAGAAATGAAACAGAACAATGAAATCCTAGAAGACTGATTTTTAAAAAATCAAAATGTCCATTTACAAATGGAAACTGCTTAATACTAGCTTTTTTGCTCCTTTGGGAAAAAAGTGTAATAGTTAAGTATATGGACACATGTACACACAGCAGATCAAGTATGAACAACATACATTCTGCAACGAAACCCCTATAGATCATTTTCCATGGTTTTGCATAATGATGGTTAGATTGGGAGTTTAATTCCTGTTATAGATATTTACTATGCTTTTTATAGACTAAGCTATTCATAACAACAAGGAGTCTTGCTATGGTTGAGAGAATCAACTCTACAAATGTGGATTAGCACACTTCAAAATTTCAGATTTTATAAAAAAAAGATTGAAAGCCTAGAGATTTCTTGATCTGGAGTGAGATACGGCCTTATAGTATCGATGCAATTACTGTGCACAGATCATTCATTCAACTTGTGGTTGCTCTGGTCATCTGTTTTCCGTCTTCCTCTACTAAACAGCCTCACTACAACATTCCTTTGAATGTTATTTTATTCAAAAACTAATTTAAAATTTGAAGCTATGCCATTATACAATGTGTTTATTTGGAAATTAAGAAGTAATGTTGGAATTACTTGATTCTTCTTCCTTAAGAGTATAATGAATGGATGCTCTTGACCCATTTTCCCCCTTGGGCAGTTCAGCAAAGCCCAGAGTCCTCTTCTCAGAATGATGTGTATAAAGCACTTAGCATAGGGTTGAAGACGTTGTTCAATAAATGCTAGCAGTTCACTAATTTAATAAAGTATGTACTTTTAATAAATCTGATTAGTGGTTCATTTCAAATGACAGTATAATCATACTAATCTCTTTTTTTTTCCTGTTTCTATGCTTCATCTCTATGAATATTTAGCAAGGATTCTACTTACATCTACAAAGTGTAAAAATGATGCAATCAATTTTAATAAAGAGACATCTACATTATGTACCATTTGTCACAACACTTCTAGTATAATTATTTGAGACAAATTTCAATTACACTTGAAAGCGAAGCATAATCCAGTTCAGAAAGACACTTGCAATGACCCTTGATCTTTATTTCAATCAGTTACAGTTAAAATAATTCTTCTATTTCCTCATGCTGACAACCATCCTGATGGAAGGTTAGAACTACCAGTTGTGCAGGAGGTGAGCGGTAGTTTAAATGAACCATTCATACAATAATTCAAAGAAATACAATACTTATAGTTTTCTATTACTTTGACTTTTGTATATTTTTAATGCCTGCATATCCATCTATCAATCTATTTTATCTATCACCTATCTACCTCCTTCCTGGGATTGAGTTGGCCATGCTTACTATATTGGTCCAACAGGGTATGGAAAGATTTGTAAAACAGTACCTTTTATTCTGGGCCACCTTGCAGGGGAAACCTCAATGAAATAGAGGAAGGGTCTGCTTAAAGAAGCATAACTATGCTTCACAAGCCACAGTGGCAATATTTAGAAGGGGAAGTGAAGAATTTATTTTTCAGCTGAAACTCTGAGGAAGATTTTTAGGTAGAAAGTACAAGGTATAATTATGTGGTTTGGAATTCCGCCAGGGCCCTGGAATTCATACCTCTTCACTTTCAAGATGTGTCACAGACCCTTTAATTACCTGAAGTGGATCAGGACCTCTGTTTGCTGTCTATCCCATCAAAAAGACAACACATTTTGTTACACATTTACCTGATGCCCCTTTGAACTGTAAATTTTGCTGAGCAACATGTAGAAATCATCTTAATCCCTCCTACTGAAATATATATATATATATATATATATATATATATATATATATTTTTTTTTTTTTTTTTTAAATCCTGACTTACATGACGGCAAGGTGGAGGCTGTTCTTTTGTGGGAGAGTGACCACAGATGCCCATGGGTTTCACAGGCAAAGGCTTGAGACCACTATCTTCTAGGAATTAGATGGCCTGGACTTAACATTGACTTACTTGTCTACTTACTAGCTATCAACTTGGATGTGTTTGTTAACTTTAATTTGAGCTTCAGTTTCCTCATCTATAAAATAATCAACATCCATATTTTTTATATTATATAAGTGACACAGTGTTCAAAAAGCTCTTAGCCTCATCCATGGAATATAGCAAACATTCCAATAATGTATGTATTATGGTTGTTATTTCCAGGGCCTTCTCTAGGTCTTAAATCTGATACCTAGGCTCTATCCTATGGAGAAGTGGTTAAGAAATATAAATTACAATCTGACCGAAGAGCTAAAGCTAAAAAGTTTAGATTATCCTGTAGACAAAGGGGAGGTAACCACTGGAAAGTTCTAATCAGGGGAATGATGGGATGACATTTGTATCTTAGAAACCGAGCTCTGATTGTAGGATGGAGGAGGGTTTGGGAGGAGAGAGGCTGGAGACAATCCCCAAAATACTGCAAACTCGTCTGTCTCCTCAAAGAGAGCATGAACCTAATTTAATCTCAGTTATTGAATTGTCCTACAATGCTGTAATGCCCTCATCGTCCTTTGAGAAACATAATCGATTTTTTTTGTCTTTATATAAAATGACACCAAACTTCTATTCGTTTTTTTTTTTTTTTTCTGCATCTCTTTCCCCAGGCCAGGGTGTTTTAGCTGTCTGGTGCCACATTTCAACATGTTTATTTGTTATACTATTTCTACTTCTTCTTCTTCTTCTTTTTTTTTTTTTTTTTTACTATTTCTACTTCTTATTTTTTTATTTCTAAGCTGTGAGCAGAGCATTCAGATAGCCAAATGTCTTAGGACACTGTCTAAAAGGATAGTTGTTTGGCTAATAGAAATAGGGTTTCAATACAGAAGTATTTCCACTTACCAATATTCCATTTGTAAATATTTATAGATATAAAACAAAAGAAGATACAGATGAGAGCAAAAGTGTTGCAACTCCGACCATCACCAACACTGTGTGTATAGTCACTTGAATGCTCTCACTGGGATGTGGGAAAAATGGAACAATGTCACTTACATTTCCCTAAACTGATGCCCTGCTCTGAAGCAGAGGAACTAGGGATCGGGTCTTTGCCCTGCTTCTGAGCCACATATTTTTTCACTTTAAACCACTCTCTTTCTATCAATGGCTTAAGCAGGGTAGGAACAGATAAAAAAAAATTTTTCACACCCATCACTTCTTTATGGCACAAAACCATTGATTTCCTGGAAAGATGCATGATATGATGTTCGCAGTGACACATGATCACATAAAACTTTGGAAAAATCAGATCATTGATTTAGCTGACCTAATGTGAACCGTGTGAATTATAGGGAAAGGGATCAGTGCTAATAAGTCTAGTGACAGGGAATATAGACTAGAAATGGAAGTTGTCCGGCCCAACACAAAGTTCGGATACTGAGAGTCAAGGTGTAACTCCAGGGTTGAGATGTAAGGTGCAGACGTTTGATTAAGGCCATCGGACAGGAACAGAAAGACAAGCACAGAAGGGACCAAGGGAAATCTCTAGTATGGTCAGAGACAAGGGAAGCGGACAGCCCATAAACAGAGGACACAAATGCTGGTGACCTGAAATCCAACAGAACAGTAGGAACCTAGAGAAAATACAGGACTGAAGCAGAAAGGAAACACACTTCAGAGAATAAATGTGGGGTGCCAAAACCTAGATCCTAGTGAGTCAGGCCAGCTTCTGTCTCATTCCCACAGTCTCACTATGCTTTCTCGCTGTGGCAGGAATCAATAAGAGTAGGACCCTCCTGGACTCTTTGCTATGGAAATTGACAGTTGGAGGTAGGAGTGGCAGCTCTGTCTGCCACCAGCCTTGATGCTGAGGAGATGGGCTGTGGAGAGTAAAGGTACGGGGGAAGTCCATTAAAACGACCAGGGGGAGATGGCCCCAGAGGGCAGTGAGAGGTCCCCAGCACTTGGGAGAGATGTTAAAAGTCTTCCAAAGAAGGATGCAAGAGCAGCAAAGGCAAATTACACTTCTTTACAATGTGGCCAAAGACCTATCCCTAGTTCTAGAACTATTAACTGGCCTATTAAGCCTTTCATTTTTAAATCTCTAATAAAGGAGTACACTTCCAGGCCCCACAGATATTCTCAAAAGATACCTTTTTAAAAGTCTCAGTGATGAATCTGTGTCATCCGTAATAAAGGCAGTGCTATGTTCTGTGAAAGCCTAGGCTTGGAAATGGCTATTTGATATTTTCAACAATCTTGTATAGTTTCTTACAAGTCAAACATCAGTAATGCAATAATAGTGCTTTAGAATAACTCCAAAATCTGTTACCATTAAAAGTAGTTGTCTGTCTTGAATAAACGTCTAATTTTGAAAGGAAATGGCTTTACTTTCAAACATGAGACAGCTGTAAAAAATTATATGTTATGTACACATTTATGTACAGTACAGACTCTTCAAAAGGATTCTTAATGGAGAAAAAAATATCAACCTGTTCTTCAAAGACATTATACAATAATCTGATACACACACACACACACACACAATAATTCATCCACATAATTTACCTGATTATTTGTATGTTGGGAGCCTATTATATTCAATGTAACCAGCATATCTAGTTATAGAAATATGCTTCTAAATATGAGAAACAAAGATGAATAACAGTGTTTAATTCTTCCATTGAAACAATTTCAGTACAATTTAATGGAGTTCTTGCCTAATATTTCAAAAAAGAATCATTCTGCTGGCAAAACAATCTCATACATAACCAACCTTCCTTTCCTTTCCTTTCCTTTCCTTTCCCCTTTCCTTCCTTCTTTCTTCCTTTCTTTCTTTCTTTCTTTCTTTCTTCCTTTCTTTCTTTCTTTCTTTCTTTCTTTCTTTCTTTCTTTCTTTCTTTCTTTCTTTCTTCTTTCTTTCTCTTTCTTTCTTTCTTTCTTTCTTTCTTTCTTTCTTTCTTTCTTTCTTCTTTCTTTCTTTCGT